CGTATTAGAGAAAAACCAAGCGACATAAAACCAAATAAAATCATACAAAATAACCGAATGCATTCTGTACCAACACACAGTGCAGGTTTGAAGTTTGCACTTAGGAGAAAAGATCTCAGAACTATGCGACTACACATTGTCAGTATCCGTAAGATACTTTAAATTTATATGAAGGAAAGTGCAATAGAATGTCGTGAGTATTCTCGCGTGGGCATCCCTAAGCAGCATGAAACTTGGTTTCACCTCGATGTTGTGGATGCATTCGCGGAAATCGATGGAGCTAGCTGTTAACCAGTTGGGCTCCAATGTACATTGATAAAAACAATAGCATAACGAAGCCGCCTCAATCGTTCGAAACCGCCGCTAATTCCTACAGTTTTCATGATAAAACTTGAGAAATATCCACAAGCCCTCTTCCGCATAATTTGAATTGGGTCAGGTGAATCTTTTCTTTTTCTGCGGCGCCGTAAGGATTTGGTCGCATGTTATATCTCTTAGTGAAAGGGCAGAGAAAAACGGCTGGTGAAAGTGATAGAGGGATCTATGCCCGGCAGAAAATCTGGTAATTACTGTGGAATAAATTGTTTTTCAAATTCCTCAGCGAAAGTCTTCAAGAGTTTTAGAAAGCCGCAACATACCGTCCAAAATCATCGGATGTTTTCCCTAACACGATGTTCTCTACTGCCCACGATATTTACGATCCTTTCCTTCCCGCAGGTTTTCCGAGACCACCCGTTTTCGTAGACTCTGTCCAGGTTAGCAAACAGGTTTTATTGATCTTGGAGAGTCTTGTTTCGTTCCCACAAATCCGGGGTGCGTCAGTTCTTATTCAGAAGTGCCATAGACTGCATAAGGACCCACTGTCGAGGATGGTGCTTTGTCTTTGTTATAACTATTGCTTAGTAGTAAGAAGCCAGAATGGATACAGATTGAGAATATTTCTTGTAACAACTGCCGTTACAACCAACTGGCGAGGAATCCGATAACTACGCACTTGGTCGAAACCGATCGATGCTCACGTGCCATCTGGTTGGCTGAATGTTCCAAGCTAACATACAAACACCCGCGCTGGAAATCGATCGATTTTCATGTGCTGTCTGTGTGGCTGACATCCGTGACCTCTTTAACACCCAACTTGGTTAACAATAAATTGTTACACAAAAGCTCTTTTGCTCGGAATGACACTGATTCGCTGAATTGGGGGGGGGGGCTGTACGCGTGGAATGTCTTCGTTCAAGTTCCATTTCTGTGCTTATAACAACGGGTTGCACTGCTTGTGGTTTCAACGGCTTAGGCAAAGCGAATGTATCTAAAGAATGTGTAAGGGGATCTCTTTAGTGTCATTTTACTTAACCCGTGCGGGTGTATAACTATGTTGCATGTGATTCACTTGAAGTATAATCAATCGGTTTTGACATGTCACTTCATACAGGACATTTTCTTTACTTGCTTTGACAAGTTCTGGCATCCCACGTTTATGTGTATCCTTGTAGTTGTACACAAAGACTGGGTCACCAGGATAAAAATATCTCATGCGAGTCCCGCGCTTACGATTGAACTAATCCGCCATTTCCTGGTCACACTCATTAGTCTCCTTTGCTGGAAACATGGCATCTAACAGCATGCGTAAACGTCAACCAATAACAAGTTCCGACGGTGATTTCCAGTTTGGGGGAACAGGATTCGGTGTTGAACGATACATGCGTAAGAATACACCCACGTTTGTAGCCATATCTTCCTCTCCTTTACGTTTAAACAAAGCACGTTTGAATATATCCACAAATCTCTCAGCCTGTCCATTGGACTGGGGATGCTAAATGGGACTACGTATATGTTGTACACCCATGGATTGACAAAATCGCTTGAACTCGTTCGATGTGAATTGTGGACCATTATCAGTGGCGAGTGTTTCTTGCGAAACAAACTGTGTGAAATAAGGACGAAGAACTGCGATTGTTGAAGCTGTCGTTGGTTGAGTGACACAAACTATTTCTGGCCATTTTGAGTGTGAATCAACAATAATCAGAAAATATTGATTGTTCAGTGGGCCTGCATAATCCACATGAATCCGCATACCGGCAGCAGTTAATTTCGGCCAAGGATGAAGGTCAACTAGGAAGGAGGCTTCCGCAGCCCGTGCACATTTAGAACAAGTACGGACTACGCCTTCAATAACATTATCCATATTTGGCCAATAAGCATACCATCTGGCAAGTGATTTATTTCCCGTACTTCTCTGGTGCCCGGCGTGAAGCATTTGAATCACTTTCATCCTGAGATTATGACAGATCACAATGCGATCTGCGAGCATTAAACCGTCGTTCACTATGGTTAAAGCATCTTTACGCACAAAATATGCTTTACTTTCAGCGTCTGATATAATTCTTGGCAAGCCGTTGTGAAGATGGAAAAAATTACTAGTTGTAAACAGCTGTCTGACCGTATAGACACAAGCATGTTACTATGGATAACTGGTAAGTTTCGTATGGGCTCCTCGAGGATAGCACTCAGTGCAGAGTAACAAACCTTGGGCAAACTGAAGCTACTCTTTTATGATATGATCAAGCGGAGTCCATCACAAACTGGTGTTATAATAGTTGTTGGCGAACAATGACAATAGATAAAACTCCATTTTGTGAACCAATCCAACATGCGTTTTTTTAGTTGCAGTAGAAGAACGCTGCTTAATGCCGAAAGCGGTTGTCTACTTAAGCATCAGATACAGGAAAAAAGCGGTCCCTTTACCGCATGCACCTGATGTTGCAGCATATGCGGTCGTATGTGTTGCATCAGGCGAGCCGTTCGTCAACTCCCCAGTTCGTCCGCAGTGGGCGGAGGCGACAATAAGGAATAGTTGACGAGTATTTGGAGGGCAACTTGTGATTTTGTGACGAAAGCATCCTCAGGCCATGTGTACAAGCGGGTAGTTGGCATAGCGATCACAGAATATCAGGATGTCACACGTGACGATGTTTTTTCAAATGGCGTATTAGGGTAGCAATATATCTGGTTACTGGACAATGGGTCTAATGTATAATACGGTTAAACTATGTCAATGTTTGTTAAGTCCCTTGAGATGGTCTGTGTTGCTGTCCTCTGTTCCCTGTGTGTGAAAGCAAAGCGAAGTGCAATGTTGTGAATGTACTCACCATGAAATCCAGGTTAACATACATGTGCATTCGTTTATCCCATTTTCTTGGTGTTTAATGAAAACATGGTAGGAATTCCATGTGCAGAATGCTTTGATACTAACATGGGTTCGGCTACAAGAACGGGCTAGGTGGGCGCCCAAATGTCAAACTTCGGTAAGGTATTCCACGGTTGGCAAATTCAGAAGGAATGGAAATTCCGACATCATTTATGTCGGCTGTATTGGGTGGTCAGTTACAAATGGTGACCGCTCAGTTATTCTTCACTGCAACATTTAATGAGGATGCTGCAAACGTGCTTAAGGTTCAACAAAATCTAATAAGTCAGAATGCGGTCAACTAATTGACGGCCGCTGTACACTCGTAGGCATAGACCCTACGGCTGATGAAACAATCCTCTACCGTTCCTTTGTTGCCTTTCGCTGAGAGGTCACGTGTGCAGCCGGATCTCGTTTTAGCCATGGGTGCAAAGTCTGACGCACGTACTCCACATGGGACAATGTATACGGATTAAGCATTTGTTATTTGGCGAAAGATATGTGACGGACCCGCACCAGATTTGTTAAACTCGTCAGCAACCATGGGCAACGAAAACGCCAGGTATTCAATGACAAGAGATGTTAAATTCCGTAGTAAAATTCCTCATCTTCAGGGCTGAGACGGCCAAGTTGATTAAAATATTAGCCATCAAAATAAAACGATAGCCGTTCAGATATTTTGGTCAACATATCCGATTAGACAAATTTTACTTTGCGAGCTGCAACGAAAATGTCTTTCTTTTACTTGCATCATTAATAGTTGATGTAAGTGATAACGCCTTCCCATCGGTTCCTTTTGGTGTACAGGCTGTCAACAGGATATGAGAGAAGTCCAAAGAGATTCGCAGCTGCATTGTACTGTTAGCTTGAAGCCAAGTTTGTCGTAGCATAACGCCGCCTTATTCAGAAAATTCACGAAAATCCGTTAGAGATTCCTTATCTAACTTTCCAACTACCAATCGGATATAAGAATTGAAGAAAATGCAGTACGCATATGCTTGGCGTTTGTTCCCCACATTGCACCACTCCAAGCAACTCGATGTTTTGTGTTTTATGGTCGAAGCAAAATACAAATTTGTAAGCTTGAAAACACGCAAGTGCTTTACATCACGCGAGAACGACCGACTAGGTTTCTATTCATTGAACAATATTTTTGCGATAAATACGGCTTCATTCAGATATAACACTTAAAAGCGAAAGTATTGTTACATTCAATCGGCAATACTTTCACAGCACGGCCAAATTTGAAGGGCCCGCCACAGCGTTAACACCGAAGGACACCAATTCCAATGTGTAAATCAGCACAGTCAAAGCAATCGTGGAAAATCCTCCTTCCATTCGGCTATCCCGGATGTAAAATGCTCTTCCATCTCATTTCAATTTTTACCCTACATGTTCGATTTTCAAAAGATATTTACGAATCTCTATCCTGTTTCCACTACGTGTTCCAGACATTTCAATGGGAAGATGGAATAACGCGAACCAAACAGTGTGTCTTCCAGCGCTCTACGTAACCTAGCTCAGAATGTTTTCTTTCCCTTATTACTATTAGTTTAATCCTTTACTCTGTAATATTCGCTCCAGTCATGCACTTGATCCGTCAAGTGCTTGCTAATTTATCATTACAAATCAATTCTCATGCTTCATAGAGTAGACTTTGGGACGCGTTCAGGTTGCTTTCATTTTGATTTGATTGGCCGCTTGCCAATCGCATACACACAGAGCTACATGTAGTTCGTCAGCCCACCATTGGGAGGTAAACGGCAACAATGCGCTGACAATCCAATCACGAATTGGATGCGCATATACGCTTGTAAGCTAACGCGTCGCAAGCGAAAACATATATATGGACACAGGTTTCAACATAAATTATTCTTTGAAACATTGCAAGGTGCATTGCGCAATCAATAATGAGCTGCAGTATCTTCATACTGGTACGTTCGCCAATCGATCAATTGCTGTTTATATATGATGTTATTTCTTGTGCTTAGGTGACCACATTTGTGTAAGTTAGATAACATAGCAGTTTGTCATGATAAAGCAACCAAGAGTCGATGTGTCTGTTCGGTTCAGTCAGTTCACCACTTTTTAATAACTATGCTCCGGGCACCGAAGCCTGGTGGAACCAATTTTTACGACTCGCGTCGCCAGACAAATAGTAAATCACTTCGGTAATCTTAGGAAGTTGCGTGCACATTGAATACAAAATAGACATCAGGCAAGTATTGGAATGAAACAATCGGAATGGCAAAGAAATAAACTGCTTAATGCAAGATAGCGGATACTGGTACGCCACTGCTTGAGTGATTGCGCCATGTCCGATAGGCTCACCAACTACTGGTCTGCACCACCCGTGGGCGCCCATTAAACAAGGCGGTAGGCAGTAGCCCGATCCAGCACTCAAACAATTTTTTCTAGTCATTATGCCACGTCACCTCGCGATTTCCCTGAACCCAAGTGCAGCGAAATCGAATAAACGTACACCGAAGAAGGAGATCAAAAGGCATATGCAGGACATAACCTAACCAACTACAGAGGTTGATCTTAAGCAAACACTCGAAGGAGACATCTGACCGCTTTTTGTCAGCAACCAACTAACAGACCTCAGTATTACTCACTTGGTATTCTCACCAGATGTGGTCAACACTCCGTAAATACCGGTGATCAAACAAGAACACTCGTTTAAAGTCCTAAGTAAGAACTGTGACATCACTGAAATAAACAGTTTCAACAGGCGTATCGTGGTGTTACACGGCCTTTCACTCACTAGCCGCTATGCCGCCCTCTCCATAGATGACTTAACCGCATGAAATATCTACGGGCACTGTGGTAACGCAAAACAACCTCCCCACTGATATAAATAAAAGCAATATCACGACTACTAACATACAGAAATGATCCGCCACTTCGAGTGTCCGTTAACTGGTATCTAGAACCGTGGCGTATCGGTCCAGTCCTGCGACAATCCTTGGAATTTTGGGGGTGCGCAGCACGTGCCAATTCGTGCAGCGTTGTGTCATTCCATTCAGTAGTGCTTGCATACCTACCGCATCAGACGCCGACAGAGATATGTCGTACGCATATTCAAAGTTTGTCAGTCGATAAACTGTCAGAAATTTTTGTCTGGACTGACCTGAAAGGCCATCATAATTATTGATCATTTCTAGGACGATGGGGAATACAAGTGACAACATTAATCAGCAGAGTCGAAGGCGAATTCAGGTCATTCAAAACTACAATAATCAGTCGTCTGTAGGTGCAACATGTATTACAGCACCGCATTTTCTCTCGTAATAGCAGGTGGATAAGTTTCCTTTCGCTTATCATCTTGACATTGATCAGTATCGAACAAAGCGACCTCATTTTATAATGGAACAATGTATGTTTAAACTTTTCTTGTCACCAGCTTAATGTCGGAAAATACATTCGCTTGGTAATTAGCGGTAATGCAAGTTCACTGAGAGATCAATGAATGCATTAATCAATGCGTTCTAATGCAGGATCGAACTAGCTGTAAATCAAGTAACTGGCACTATGTTTATGAATTAATTCTTGTATCTTGATCCCCTTAAATGCCCAAATGGTGTGCGTCTCGTAGTATTAATTTGCAACTTACCTTAATTGGCAAGCTTCACAAGTCACCGCATGAATGTTTTCACAAAAGATATCAACAAAGCAAAATATACTAAATCAAGGTAAACAACGTGAGTTATGAGTTATACTTGTTAAACATCGTTTAAATTATCTTCGCTGAAGGCCGGTACACTGCTTTACTCTCGCTTGGTCAAGTCCTCGTCGTCTTATTGTTACATAATCGAATGGATTATATGATTAGTAATATAAGATCGAAAGCAAATACTGAGGGAAGCTCGCGTGCACGTTTATGATCCATGTACGTAGGTCACTTATTTGTTTCAGTTAGATGAGAAGGGATTTAGGTCCACATGTGATATGAGTTCAAAAGAGGAAGCACATGGTATGTCTGTCAAAAACATATTAGCGATTGTCAGCTAGCTGTAGACCCTCCCTCCTCACCACAGAAAACAACGTCGGGAAAATAGATAGATTGTGGACTTTGTTGTCATAGCAAAACAAATATCCGTTTACCGTCAAAAGCGGGTTTCCCGATGTCAGTGAATTTTGCAACTTGTTGACTGATGACCTATTGCTTCTTTCAACTTTATTGGTGAAATTAGATGTAGATACTAAAGATTAGGTATCAAGTTTTATCATTCATACTTGCTTAACATTTCGTATGGCCTCTCGCATGTTCAAATACAAGCATTCTAACTTGATCCTATTAAGGCGATACTTCTGGTTGCCGCGGGAACAATTCAAGCGATCCGTCGAGATTATCCACATTGTGACGACGAATGCAAGGAGTACAAGGACAGTACAGATGCTAATTGCGGGAAAGAGTCCGGCACACTTCATTGCATTGGATTGTCAAATGCTTATTATGATTGTTACTACGGATGTGTGAACAAAGCGTTGGAGAGTAAAAGAGAGGAGTTACAGAAGGCACAACAAAGGAAGAATGCGACTAACCACGTGTGAAGACAACGTACATCATGCAGATTTAGTGATGCTGGAACAATCGATTTTCAAAAAATGAACATATTTCTGTATACAAAATAGAAGAAATAAATTCTTATGAAATCGGCTAGTAAGTGTGTTGATAACGTTGTCTATTTTCTTTATTTTGAATGAGGACAAACGGGACTTCAAGTTTGACATTTTAACCGCTTTATATTTTGAAGTATAACTAGCCGGTTAACTGTATAGATTTAATTGTCTCACATTGATTTGAATGTGGCTATCTCTAATGCGATTTATGCAAACACTGCCCGAAACATGGAGCTGCTCATACCTTAAGTGTTTTAGTGCAACGGGTTGCACTTACGCAAGTGGGAACCTGCGTATAATTCCATTCAGAAATACCCGCATATGTCAATCATGCATGGTGCGCCATCTGAATGGTATTTATTTTCTTTAGCAGATAATGCTACACAGTAATATTTACACGCGTGTCCCTAGTTTGTTTGTTATTCTGTTTTGCCAGATATTTGCTATTTCTGGGCGCGATTACATAGTATTAGCTGGGTTATTTTGTAAGCAACGTTGAACTACATAGTGAACTTCACAACTCTTTGCTTGCTGCAACCCGTTTGATTACTATACTGTGAGTTATTCTGATCAAGCAGTCGGTGTGCAGGACACAGGAAACTAGTGAAAATCCGAAAAAAGTTTGGGATTTTATTGTAGGCGTGATTAAATAAGAAGGCCCACAGTTGAATTGAAGAGAAATAGGGGAACATGGTAAATGACGAAGCCAAACGGTGCTTGCATCCGCAAGTAGTTCATGTGGAGACAGAGAAAGTGACGGTCACATGAATTTAATTTAATTTAATTTAAGTGAAAACGGACTATCTTCGGACTTCCCTGGTGATGCACAGTTTTGCGTCCCTGGATTGCAATACAGAAAAGAAAACCTTCTTACCATTGATGTCTGCTTTTCTAGAAAGATTGAAATAACAACATGATAAGGACAAATCGCAGATCGCTAAGCTTGTAATCCCGTGCCCGTAATAATTACTTGAAATACTGTTGGCTCGAGCGACTTCTTCAGATGTTTTTGTATACACCGATCTGGGCAACAAGATTGCAGGCCTTTCGCAGTCATAAATAGTGCAGGATGGATAATAGTCTGTGTCCATAAGATGGAGTACGTTTGGCTTCCCATGAGAACGTAAAACCTACAGATATGTAAATCGAAAGATATAACTATCAGCGTCTGAGCTAACGTCATTCACCTCTACGGAGAGCATTTTATTGCCAAACAAGGAACAATGGACCGCAACGGTAATTACCAACGTCTATGGGTGCTCCGGATACCGTCGCCTTAAGTTTGTTTAGTTTATCCGATTTCACAAGCTACTAGATTTCTTGTTGTCCACAAAGCACATGGGCAGAACCGAACTATGGAGCCATGCAACGATGCCCGCGCTAGAGTATTTACTATTATATATCATAAAGATAAAACCAATTTGTAAATCTACCGAACGTTCATATGGCGCATATACATATCATGATTATTAGGGCTAACGCGCGGAGGCTGGAACTGGCTTTGTCCGCCGGTTGTGTGTAGTTTATACCGTATATTACCGAATATGAGCCGGACACTATAACTTTGCAGCATCAAATCTGTCCAAAGTCGTTGGGCCTAAATTAGCCTATCGGTAAAATTAACCGCGAAAAGATGAACCAAATTGTTTCTCCACTACTTTGGCTTCAAAACTACGTGCTCTCACTTCAGTGTGTTTAAGCAAATGTTGCTCTACTATTGGTCAGTTGTAGTGATCGTAATGTTATAATTGAGGTTAAGATGGCGTACAGCCGTGAGAACAGACTTTCACCGCATCGGACATTGTATTGACCCCATGTCAACTCATGTGAAACATATAAGACAACCGACAATATGGGGTAAGTTGAAATGGTATGTCAGACACTTCGCTTCTCATGGTCAGTGGCCTCATTCATATGAATCAAAGCAGCGAGTGAGAGTGAAGTTCACGGGCACCGGTGTGGGATGGCGTTTTGATTTTAAATCACCGGATCGATTAGGATGATGCATAATCGCTTTGATTCGCTACCCAAAATAGCGCTAACGCAAAGTCCCATGACCCAGCTGTGAGGGAATGTGCCCACATTTCTTGCGATCTTCCAAAGCCGCCGAGAAATGAAATAATGTCTGGACAGAAGGGATGCGTATGTCACTGGCTTTAAATTGAATGTTATCGCGTTTTCCCAGCAACGTAATAAGTGTATAGCTGGAGGCAATTTCACCGTGAATGAAGCGCATGTAATGGAATGGAGAAAGGAAAAGTTAAGATTGTCACTAATGCCTGTAGGCAAGATAGCATGTTTCCTGAACTGTAGGATAATTTAGCGCAGTGGGTTATGGAGTCACGACACAGTCGATTAATTGTTATCCGAACGAACATTCGGATCAGGGTGCACACAATGTTAACAAAATCCTTATTTCCAAACTTAAGAACAGGTGAAATTTTGTTGCCTTATCTGAATGGTGCAATCGCGTTATGAATCGATTCGACAGGTGTCTACGGACACGCAAAAAACTATCTCAGAAGCTGCCGAAGTAAGTTGAATCTTTCTAAAATTTTGTGCTTCAGCTGAGAACACAAGAGGATTCTGAACTGTAGCGTATTGGAAATATGGACGAGAAGACCGTCCGCTTTGATATATCTTCAAATCGCACGACAGAGCAGAAAACTGCTGATACAGTTGTTGTGAAAGCGAGGATATACGAGAAGACACGGTTCACAGTTGTTTTAGGGTGAATGGCGAATGGTTCCCGTCCGTCACCGTTCTTTATTTTTAAGCGTAAGACGCTGCCTAAGAAAGCGCAAGTTCTAGCTGGCGTGATTGTGTGGCCTGACGCGAGAAGATGGATGGGCGAGCGTGGCACTTTAGACTAGCTTAATATAGTTTGGTGAAAGCGAAGCAGTGTCCTTTTAAAAAATCATCTATGCTGGTTTGGGATTATTTTAGGGCACCCGGAACTGACAGCGCAGAGAAACTATGACGTGAGATGAAGTCGTCCGTGGCTTTAATTCCCGATGAAATTACATCAACACTGCAGGCACTGGATGCCTGTCACAACGAGCACTTTATAGATAGGCTTGGTGTCAGGTGGACTGAATGGATAACATCGTCTGATTTAGTGTTGACGAAGGGTAGAAATTTGATTAAGTTTGACATTGTTACAATTAGGACCTGGGTTAACGAAGCGTATCTGGACGTTCCATCAGAAATTATCTTCCAATCATTTAATAAATGCTGAATGAGTAATGTTATGGATGGAAGTGAGGACAATGCGATTTTTGAGAAACACAACGATGACGACAGCCATGTAGTTGAAGATGACGACATTCTCCCTGAAGTTACATTGACAAACGAACAGTTCCAGAAACTGTTTATAGACACGGAATGCAGTTTCGAAGGATGCGAATAACTGTACCACCATTGTGCAGCGTTTTGAATATGGGAGCCTTTAAAATCTACCGGAATGTGCTTTCCTTTCATCTTCTTTCTCATGTTCTTATGTGATGGTGTTTGATTCGGTAGAAGCAGTATGCTTCTGTTACTGTCATCCGTCGCGAACGTCAAAAATGCGATATACCAAGAATTTTCAACACAAGCATAATGTGTCTACTTATAGGCAGTTCAAATCCTCGTCTGCAAAACCACCCATCACTAGCGGACGGGGCTAAGGGGAGATAAATGCAGAGGTGTGCAGGGAATTCCTGGGTGGATTTTCAATGTGAATTTTCAAAATGCGTATAACGTTTCCATAAGCCGACATCCCCTACTACTACAGAAATGGAAAATCGACCAAAACCATCGGCTTAAATCGGTAATATACAGAAGGTACTAACGCTGAGAAAATACACATAGCCAATAAACGCTTAACAACCAAACTAATTTTAAATACAATCTACCGTAAGCATCGCCACCGGAAATTGATCGTCCGCTTACGCAAATCTGTAGAAATGTGTCATCGGTCGCTGCTGACTCCATGCCCCAGGATCAACTACACGAAAAGATTATCGCAACGAATGATGACGATTCGACAGGTACTACCGTAAGAAGGTAGAGAAATGGACATAAATTTTTGGTATAATTCTAACTTAACTGATTGTGGTTCGCTGCCGTTAGTTCTTTGACATTTGTTTATATGCATCAATGCGTCGATCCTATTGGCCAACCCACATCGTTCGAAATGGATGTCAGCTCAGGGGGCTCTTTCCGCTAATACTATTTGCTCGAACTAGCCTGATTGGTTCATAGGTTTACCACTTCTTATACGACTGCCTTATTCACTGCCTTCCAATTTGATGGTTGGCTCAAAGGTGTTTTACTAGCCTGGCTGCAACCATTGCTGTGCCCTATTTACATGAGCTGTGCATAGCAAAACCTGAATCGAAAAGTGCTGAATCGAAAGCCCCCATCGCAAGTTAGAACTGTGACAAGTTTCACTTTGCGAAAGACTGCGAGTACAATAATCAGCAAGTCCCAATTGTAAACGCATTGGTCAGAGAGAAACCGCTGTCCAGGTACTCACAAGTTTAGACGTATATTTACTCGACCGGTTCGACCAAACTACAATTTCAGGAAGACCAGATTCCAGAGTGCAAAGACGAAAGCGATTCTTGCCGCATTTTGCACAGAATTTGCAAGCAACTGAAAATACCTCACAGTAAAACTGAACGATGCTCCTGTGTCGTTGCATCGTCTGATATCACTATGATTTCTTGATCGACATGGGCTGGGCTGGGGAACCTCCAGCCAAACATGCAAGCATCACGGTCCAAATTGCATCAGGCGAACAGTTGTCGCTAGACGGAGGAAATGACTGTGATCCTAAAGCACAGAACTGTTTAACTCCATGGCATCATTCACCTAACCTTTTATACCGATATTAATCCACTTGGAATGGATTGGATTGTGAAGCTAAATCTACTCGACGAGCCACT